CCAAACATCAATGGTTGGTAGCCCTATTCTTTTATTTCCATGATCCTTTCTTTGTAGTACTCAACATAATCTAATTCTTACATCATGTAGTATTTGAAAACTTTTTCAAATTTCAAGGGCCCGTCTCAGTCCCAGTGTGGCTGATCATCCGAAAAGACCAGCTAAGCATCATTGGCTTGGTCAGCCTTTACCTGACCAACGACCTAATACTACGCAGGCTCATCAAACAGCGCTTTTTAGCTTGATTCAGGATTTGGCCCGAACTGTTCGGCAGATTCCCACGCGTTACGCACCCGTTCGCCACTTTGTTCTCAACTGTTCCCACCCCTTTTGAAAGGCGAGACAAGCTACGGATCAAGGATCAAATAAGTGGAATTTCATCGAGCTGTCCCATCCAAACAAACAAGTGTTTTACATTTGTCTTTTTCTTGTTCAACACAATCCTTAAATATTGTCAAATCTATTTAGGATGATCTAACATACCTCAACAACATTGCGAACATTAGAAATGGAATCATGCCTTTCTTTAAGCTCTTAATTCACAATCAAGTTAATTATGTGAGCAGAATACCTCATGTGTAATATTTTTCCATCTAATACAAGTGAATTCCAACTTTTAAGCCTTCGGTTGATATAAGAAATAGCTATATCATTGAAACTTGCATTATCAACTGTGATAGAGATCACTTTATTGATCCCGATTCCAATAAACAACTCTAATAATCTTGCCAATAGTCTCTTCCTTGTGGTTAGCCATTTGAAAAAAATCGATAATTCTTTTATGTAAATTACATTCAAAATCAATAAAGTATGTATTGATTACTAAGTAGTTTCTGTTGACACATACTGCCCGACATGCTCTTTGACTAAATAATGAAGTGACAATATTACTACTACCCTTTCCATCTACTGAACGTTGAAAACTTAGGGCGGTTTGTTCTTCATCTTCTACTCGGTACTTTCTACGCTGATTTTGCATAGGAATTAGTAAAAAAAAAACAGTTTTTATAACAATAGTTGCAATTTCACTTCTTATTATTGTTTTCTAATCTTGTAAAATGATCCTACATTGTTAATTTACTAGGTTTCTTATGCTAATGATGACTTCGATGCCTTATAATTACTAGGGCTAGAGCTATAATAAGGAGTTTCACATCCACTCGTTTTTGTTGGCCGGCAGAATTTTGTTATTTTCTGTATAATACTGCAGTGCAAATTACCCACATAACTTCTCAGGATTAACTCCATCTTTCACAATTTGTTGAACAGGAAAATTCAATTGTCTTAGTTCGTTTAATGTTAATTTAACATCAATTGAAATAAAACTAATATTATTCCAACATTCCACCCAGAAAAATAAAGATAAAATAATTTTTTTTAGATAATTAACCTACAAAATATTTTAAGATAAGAAGTCTCTCATATATTATTTGATATAACTTATTATAAAAAGGAATTAGCCACATTTGTAAGGAACCTACGTTCAAAAAAAAATGCCACATGACCACTCCTCCCAAAAAAATACTACATAACCAACTCTCCTGTCAAAAGAAATGACATATAACTAACTGTTTGTCCTAAAAAAATGGCACATAAAAAATGATCTGTACTAAAAATGACACATAACAAATGATCTGTCCTAAAAAATGGCACATAATAAACCATATGTCTTAAAAAATGGCACATAAATATGTCTTAAAAAATGGCACATAACAAACGATCTGTCTAAAAAATGGCACATAACAAATTATCTGTCCTAAAAAATGGCACATAACAAATGATCTGTCCTAAAAAATGGCACATAACAAATGATCTGTCCTAAAAAAAATGGCACATAACAAATGATCTGTCCTAAAAAATGACACATAACAAACAATATGTTCTAAAAAAATGGCACATAACAAACGATCTGTTCTAAAAAAATGGCACATAACAAAAGATCTGTCCTAAAAAATGACACATAACAAACGATCTGTCTTAAAAATGGCACATAACAAATGATCTGTCATAAAAAATGACACATAACAAACGATCTGTCCTAAAAAATGGCACATAACAAATGATCTGTCATAAAAAATGACATATAACAAATGATCTATCCTAAAAAAGGCACATAACAAACAATATGTCTTAAAAAATAACACATAACAAACTATCTATCCTACAAAAAAAGGCACATAACAAATGATCTGTCCTAAAAAATGACATATAACAAATGATCTATCCTAAAAAATGGCACATAACAAACAATATGTCTTAAAAAATGGCACATAACAAACTATCTGTTCTAAAAAAAATGGCACATAACAAATGATCTGTCATAAAAAATGACACATAACAAACGATTTCTCCTAAAAAATGGGACATAACAAATGATTTGTCATAAAAAATGACACATAACAAATGATCTGTCCTAAAAAATAGCACATAACAAACAATATGTCTTAAAAAATGGCACATAACAAACAATGTCTTAAAAAATGGCATATAACAAACAGATCTGTCCTAAAAAAATGGCACATAACAAATGATATGTCTTAAAAAATGACGCATAACAAATAATTTGTCCTAAAAAATGGCACATAACAAACAATATGTCTTAAAAAATGGCACATAACAAACAATGTCTTAAAAAATGGCACATAACAAACGATCTGTCCTAAAAAAAATGGCACATAACAAATGATCTGTCCCAAAAAAAATGACACATAATAAATGATCTGTCCTAAAAAATGGCACATAACAAGCAATATGTCTTAAAAAATGGCACATAACAAACTCTCTGTCCTAAAAAAATGGCACATAACAAAGTCTCTGTCCTAAAAAAAATGGCACATAATAAATGATCTGTCCTAAAAAAATGACACATAACAAATGATCTGTCCTAAAAAATGGCACAAACAAACAATATGTCTTAAAAATTTGGCACATATCAAACGTCCTAAAAAAATGGCACATCATGGTTTGTCCAAACAAGTGCCACCTAGCCACATACAATGGAGGTTAGACAGTCAAGGGGCTTTATAATTTATAAAAAAAAAAAATCATCAGGCCACAAATAATGGAGTGGAGATATGGTGGGAGATTGACCACAACATAAACACATCCAAACACACTCCAAAAAAATGTCACATAACTAACCATACGTCCAAAAAAAAATGGCACATTAGCAACTCTATGTCCAAAAAAATATCACCTATCTAGCCACAAATAATTGAGGTTAGAGATGTCGTTATAATTTATAAAAGAGAGATGGAGAGGAGGGGGGAGTTGAGACCACAACATTGTGACCGTCGCGGAGACGAGAGTTAGACGGTGAGAGGTTGAGAGGGAGAGAATGAGAAAGAGACAAAGAAGGTCAGAGAGGTCGAGTCTGAGAGACAAAGTCTCGGACTCAAGGTCAAACGGCGGATGTCAGACGCTGTCAGAGAGAGATAGTACAGCGAACACTAGACGTATACAGTGGCAGATGCCAGACATGTATAGTGTTGCAAGACACAACGAGAGATAGTTTGACGTTGGTAGGACGTGGGCTAAAGGCTTGAGCTTCGGCCCGTTCAATAGTTTGGTTGGGGCCATTGGACTTTTTTTTTAAAAAAAATGTTTACGGTTGGGTCGGGTTGACCCAATCAATTTCTTTTGGAACCTAAACCGAATCAAGTTCAAGAAAATGAACCCAATCGTCATACATAAGACAAGTCTTCCGACCGAGTCGATAATAAGGCCACTTACTTGAGTTGGCCTAGGCCGAATCTACTACAACTTCTTAATGCTAGCTTAACGCTGCTCTCTAAAATTTAATTATGTCTAAGTAGTCCAACAACCCTAAATTATAATTCTAATATGGTAGTTGATTGACCAGATTATTCTTAATAATTTAAATTAGCTAATTCTAATTTTGCATAAAATAATGTAAATTACTCCTAATAATCCTAATAATTTAAAAGTAGTCATACTAACTTTAAACGCTTCCACAAAGTTAAAATTAGGGGAAAGGGTCTAAGTGTATCAAACCCAAGTAGGATTAGCCAAAATGTCGATCTTGAGCCATCAGAAAGTATATTCTCCAACTGGCTTCAAACCGTTCAAGTGAGATGATAAAATGAAATGAGGGACATGGAGACCAACTCCCCTCTTCGATAATATTAAATTTTAAATAAAATACTAAAAAAATTATTAAAAAATAAATAATTACGAGGTTTTATGGCATAAATCCTAACAATCTCCCACTTGCACTAAAGCTAGCGAGACATGTGTCCTAGAGCATACTCTATACCCTACACGTTCTCTCACTTACCCTAGAGAAGATGAGACATGTCTTGTAATTCTAGACATTTTAGGTGACTCTCGAACACTTTAGCTTGGAGAGTCTTTTTATATAATCAAAATGATTGTCCTTAAAAAGTCATATTGGTCACTACCTCTCGAGATCATACCCTAAACATTGATGTATATGCAGAAATGATATAGAGAATAAAAATAATATAATATCAACCACTTGACGCTCATTCGATGCATCTACTATGGTTATTTCATATCCTCATTTTTCTTTTCGTATTATTTTGCTTGACGCTCATTATAAACATTATTATTACTCTTACTCCCGTCGGGATAAATCTGACCCCTTTCTCTGTTCGCGCTTACGTATATGGGATATTTTAAAGAGTGAACATCTTTCTTAGCTGTAGAGTCCGGGGAAAGAATAAGAAAGGTGATTTCACTATATTTCTGACCAGGAACTGGCCCTATCACAAGAATATTTTTTAGTAGGACGATAGTGAATAGACAGATTGCCCATCTTTTCTTTAATCTCGGGAGAAATACGATCAGGAGCTAATTCAAACCTTTCGGTAAAATAAGTCTGGCACCTTAAACATCTCTAATTAAAATATTATAAGATAAACTTAAATAAATTGTTTTTACAAAAAAAAATGTCATGTCCTTTCTAAACATTAATCTTTTCAAAAAAAAAAACATGTCTGATTTTATCTTAGAAAATTCTCATCGCTCATGTAAGAAGTTCCAAACGAACAAAAAAAATGATAAAATATGAGATGGTCATCTTCCCTTCTTCGCCATAGATCTCTTTTTGAAGCTCTTTCTCATCTATTTTCCTTTTTCCCTCACGGTCACGGTCTCTAAGATCTTGGTCTATTGAGTATCATTTGTTTCTTGAAAGGTAATTAAACTCTGTTTCTCTCTTGGTTGCTTGATCCTTAATCTCGGTAAATTGTGTGATTTTCTTTCTGGGTCGTTTGTTTTTTTTTGTTACATGATTTGGTTTTTGTGGAAATTAATGATTGTTCTTGATATTGCTACGTGGTCTCTCTAATTGTCGGATGATGACGATGATGTTCTGCAATGAACAGAGCTTAACTCCATGGAAAGATTGGTTCTCTCTAATGCTTGTTGGGATTTTTTCTTTTTCTTTTTTTTTTTTTT